TCCCATGAGGATGCCTTTTTTTCATGTAAATATCTATTGATTTTTATTATCTTTATATGTTGACAAGGTAAATAACCACTAAAAGAAGCCTTTGTTCACTTTTAAGTTTGTGTAAAGTAAATTAATTTTTAATTCATGAAATGTTTCAAATATACAGAAAGGATATACAGAATAATATAATTAATATCCATATTCCTGCCACCCAATTTAGTCATATAACATTTTTCTCTGTAGGCTTCAGGTTGTCTCTTTTTTTTTGTTTTTTTTTTAAGCAAAAATGCTATGGATGCAGTTAAAGTTTCCAGTGCACTCCTCCGAGGTCCCCCTTTTATTCCCTCCCTAGAGATAACCATTTTCCTATATCTAGAGTGTATAATTTTTCTGCATATTTTTATAATTTTATTACTATTAATAATATGCATTATAAAAATATAATGGATTATTTTGCAGGTTTCTAAACTTTATACAAATGGTATCATATTGGATGTGTCCTCTGCAATTTGCCTTTACTCAATAATATGCTTCCGAGATTTATTCAAGTTGATATATATGGCCCTAGTTTATTTAACTTATGTATAGTATCCAAAATACGAATATACCACGATTTTTTATTCATATTCTATTGATAAATATGTAAGTGTGTCTAATTTTCTAACTAAAGTCACCCTCAAACGTGTCTCCTGGTGCAAAGGATCTAGGATGGTATTGCTGGCTTGAAGGTTATGTGTGCATTCATCTTTACCTAGAAATTAGCAAGTGACTATCCCATAGTGAGTGAAACTGTTCACTTCCACAAACTGTGGTATGACAGTTTCCATTTCTCTTTTCCTTGTTAGTAAAATTTTTGGTTTACCAGTCTAAAATTTTTGGTTTACCAGTCTAATAAGTGTGAAGTAGTTCATTTCTTAGTTCTCACATTTGAAGATACACTTCTTAATGGTGCTTTCGCTACAATTCTGTTAGTGTCATCTTGGACATTTTAATTTTAACTTGCTAGAAGTGACAGAGTCTTACTTGTAAACAGAATATAATTGTAGATTTCCCACAGCAAATCTTGTTTCTCATCCTTGGTTATCATACATATCCTAATGATACTTCCATGGAGTTGATAGGTGGAACCTATGAGATTCTAGCCCGTCAGCATGACTGATGAATAATTAGTTGCCCTTATTTGTAAGCAGTCCATTTTATATAATTTTTATTCTTTGTTTTAATATTTGATTACAATTTGGAAAAAGGTTAGATTGTATTAGTTCTATTTGCCCTAGAAATTTTCATTTTAGACAGCTCAGGAAATATTAAAGACTTACTACCATAATTTTATTGCAAGTTGATAGAATTGAGTACAATTATTTTTAGCACAGTAGATCTCTAAGTCTTTACCTCAATAGGTAAATAGGCCCTGAGGAATTTAGAATTATATCCATTCTATGTATATTTAAATAATAACTATTTTTTATTTTCTTTATTTTCATAGATAAAGGAAACCAGGAAAGCAATGAGAGATTCTGACAGTGGACTAGAAAAAATGGCTGTTGGTCATCATATCCATGACCGAGCTCATGTCATTAAAAAGTCAAAGAACAACAAGACTGGAGATGAAGAGGTCAATCAAGAGTTTGTCAATATGAATGAAAGTAAGTTATCACAAAAAATAGTGTTCTTTCTCATAATAAAGCTATACTTACAGAACTTGATTAATATTTTTTGTAGAAACATGTCATAAGATGTAGTTTCTGAATAATATGTGTAGGGAATACCTTGTCAAAGAAATAAAATTGTGGTTTCATTATTTCATAGTAGATCTGTCTTTATAGTGATTTTTGGCATTGTGGAATATCATTTATTTTTATTGTTTTATACTTGGAAAATGGAATCTTTTGAATTGTTATTTAGTAATGCTATCAATATGCAAAATGAGTTTTAAAATATTTTTTTCTGATTATGAAGGAAGGATATTTGAAAAGTTTGAAGACAAAAATAAAAATCATCCATAATCCAACCCAAAATAACTACTATTAGTCTTTTAGGGTATTTCTTCTTAATAGTTTTGTGTATATATTATTAACAACATACATATTTCTTTAAAATTAATATTTTGCTATCTATGTAGTTTATATTGTGTTTATTTTAATTCACCATTATAATTTTAAACAGTCACCTAATATGTATTTTTTCAAAAACATTCTAAGCTGTTACCTAAAATTTTTATTGTGACCTGGGTAATTAAAGAGACAAAAGGCAGGGATAGGTGGGTTCCATTGACTGCCTTCCTGCTTCTGGTCAGTCTTTGCTCTCTGTGTCCAGAGTGCGGAGCCCGCCTGGGCAGAGCTTAGCCTCGTGGGAGATTCCCTTTAGTGGCTATAAGGCAGAGAGACTTTACATCCACCACGCTCCAGTGTCTTGTGGCTGAGCCTTTGGCTCCAAAGTTTCTGTCCCCACCTTGGGGGCAGAGCTGAGATAGGAACTGTTCCCCATTCCTACCGCTTATCTCCACCTGTGCAATTAAAGAGACAGAAGACGGGGTTCCCTGGGTTTGGCTACGGGCTTGCCGGCTTCAGGCCAATCTCTATCTGCACAGGTCTTCTGCGCTCGGTGTCCAGGTCCTGGAGTTTGCCTGGGCAGGGCCGAGCCTTGTAGGAAGCAGCCTTTGGTGAATACAAGACAGAGAGACATTACAACCCACACACTCTGGTGACTTGGAGCTGGGCCTTCGGTTCCAAAGTCTCTAGCCCCGTCTTGGGGGTGGAGCTGAGATAGGAACTGCTCCAGTTCCTGCCACCTATTTCCACCTGTGTAATTAAGAGACAGAAGATGGGAGGCCACCGGTGTAGCCCGGAGACCAGCAGGAAGGGTAGGGTAATTGGCTGTTTCCCTCCCCTACATCTCGGACTGCTGGCTCCCCAGCGGTTGAGAGACTGCAGACACCACCCCAGCGAAGGCTGCTGCAGAGAGCAACTCCCACCTACTGGCTCAGAAACTAAACAAGACGTGTGAAATACCCAAACGAAAACTAAAGGAAGAAACAACAACTGAGCAAAATGGGAAGAAATAAGCAGGAACTCCGGAAATATGAAGAAAACAAACGGAAAACACACCCCCAAAGAGAGACCAGCCCCTTAGAAACAGACAACAACCAAAACCTGGCAACTAAAATGACAGAAGAGGAATTTTGAATGTGGATCATAAGAACACTCACTGACTGCAACAACAACTCAATAACAACAAAAGAACCACAAAAAGCCTCCAGGAAATGGAACAAAGGTTCACTAAAGAGATTGACACAGTGAAGAAACTTTAACCGAAGTCCTGGAGATGAAGAATCAACTCAGGGAATTACAAAATACAGTGGAAAGTCTCAAGAAGGGGTAGATCAAGCAGAAGAAAGAATCTCAGAGATTGAAGATAACACA